AGAGAGAGAGAGAGAGAGAGAGAGAGAGAGAGAGAGAGAGAGAGAGAGAGAGAGAGAGAGAGAAAGAGAGAGAGAGAGAGAGAGAGAGAGAGTAGGATGAGAGAGAGAGAGAGTAATGAGTAGAGTAGAGTGAGTTTGAGTTTGACGCCGCACTCAGCAATATTCCAGCTATATGGCGGCGGTCTGTAAATAATCGAGTCTAGTGATCAACAGCATGAGCATCGATCTTCGCAGTTGGGAACCGATGACATGTGTCAAACAAGTCAGCGAGCCTGACCACCCGATCCCGTTAATCGCCTCTTATGACAAGCATGGATTACTGAAGATCAATATTCTAACCCGGACCTTCACGGGTTGACAGTATTTGGGGATAAATCAACTTTCTCAGTGATACCGGTGTGGTGAGTCAAATAGTTGTGTTTACTTTCAAATACTCTGTTCAGAAGCCCAGAAAAATAAACTGGGTAACGATGAATTGTAAAGCGGACACTATACTTGTGATTGAACTACTTGTGATAATTCACTGGTCTTTCCTCAAGCGCCATAACATGATAACATGTGTAAGCTCTTTCCACGGTATTTTGTTGATTAAGAACATTTTCCTCAACGTTCTTATTTCGATTAAGGAGTACGAAACGAGAATGCAGGAATGTAGTTGGACGCGAAAGGCAAATATTTCCAAATGAGGCTCGTGACTGTTGGTATAGAACTGCATATCCTTAATTATTATAGAAGGCAACGAGCCGGATTTCGAGTGTTTCGTTTCATTACCAAAGCTTTGAGACCAAAACAATGCATTTACGTCGGTAACCAGTGTTTCGCAGCCTGCAATTGATCCAAGGCTTAGCTAAATGAAATCTGAGCTACACTTAAATGAATCTGACATTTACAGAAACGATTGACAAGCTATATCTTGAAGTTATGTTCAACACGTGCTGGAATTTCTTTGATTGTGACCACTAAGTCCACGACAGTGTCACTTATTGCCTCGGGGTTCTAGAAGCTACTCAACACGGCTATAGAAGCACAGATGGAGAATAATAGATACATTAATATAGAAATCTGTATTAAATTGAAGGGAAGCATACATACATGTTTTATGGTGCTTTTAACATGAAATCAACAAGAAATGATTATCCGATTGTAATGTATTTGAGACGGGCATCATAGGCGATGTTACATTATCATATCGATCAGTGTCTTACCACAGGTGACGGAGCATGTGACGTCTCAATGGAACGAAGGGGATGCGATTGGAAAATACACAGTTATGAACACAGGGGCGTGTCACGCTTAGACACAGCGTTAGAAAGACATATAGGTATATAGACCCTACCCTAGTACTATATAAAAGGAAAGGGATGTAACGACGGAACCACTCCCTCCTCAATCTACGTTAGATTTCACCACGTAAACTATTTTTAAGGCCCCGTCGAGGCCTACGGATCAAAAGCGAGATGGGTTCCCACCAAAATAAGCTATAAATGGTCACAATCGGATCAATATTTCAAAAGTTATACGCATCGACTCACCGAAAACAGCTACCTCCGCAATTCCAAGCCAAAAATCATGGATCAGCCAAGACAGCGAAAACTCACCTTTAAAATTCGTTTATTAATTGCCACGTTGACAGCACCTATGTAGGGCTAGATTCGATCGGCAGCGCCATTCCACGGGTCTAAAAACTTATTGCAACATCTACAAATCATTTCCTCGACAGTAAGCAGGCATTTTCTCCAAAACCATCGGCAATCATACTCACTTGTCGGCCATAGATGGCCTTGACATTCAAGTGATCTGTTGATACTTTGTCTTGGCCAGTAATTTTACTACTTGATCTTTACGACAATATTACGCGTCGAACCAGAAAATTGTGACCTCTACAACGATCTATGTAGTGTACTCATTGTCAGTGTTCTGCGGAGTCCTTACCTTGCTGTCTTGACGCATAATAGAGATGTCGTTCATAGTTTTCTAATTTCAAGCGTTATCTCTGAAGACGACACACTGTCTCATTGGGTGCAACGTAAATATGAGGTAAATACGATCTGTTGTATGTTTGCAGAATATATTGAAATATCATGACATGTCCTCGTGACAGGAGATGAAACTGCACCATTAGCCAGCATCTTACAATAGGAATATAGACAGTGGGGGAGAAACTGCCATATTACATAATTCTACTGACTGACTGACTGAGTTTGGGGTTACGCCGCATTTAGCAATATTCCAGCAATATCACGGCAATACCAGAAATGGGCTTCACTAATTGTACCCATGTGGGGATTCGAACCCGGGTCTTCGGCGTGACGAGCCAACGCTTTAACCACTAGACTTCCCCACCGCCCCACATAATTCTACTGCTTCATATTACGCATAGAAACAGATAAGTTTCAGTCCTCAGAAACAGTCCTCAGGTTGTTTAAGGTGAGTTGCGGGTTCCGCTGGTGTTGGTGCTTTCTTGTCTACAGTATTAGACAATGGTGTACATAACCCTCTTCTCCATAGTGTGTGATATTAAATTTATATTTCGAAAAAGGTCTCAGGGAGCCTTCTGATGACACGCTTTACAAAAAGACAGTTCCACTGTGGACTATTTGCCAATATTTAGAAAACAAACTTTATGGCACTAATTACATTTTCAAATCTCTTTAGAAGCCGAGTAGAACTGAAAGGGGTGGGGTGGGGTGGGTTGGGGGTGCTTTGAGTAAAGAATGCTGGAGCCGAGGAGGGGTGTGTGAATTGGTGTGGAGAAGGGATGGGTGGGTGGGTGGGGAGCACGTTTGACTAAATATTAAATGTGCATTGGCCCGACACAGTAGGATGTATCTGTAATGTGGTATGTGAATATGATTTGAATGTATTTCCTTTTCGTTCAAAAACTAGTGTTGGGAATTGGTTAAAATCTCATAATTGATGATTGGTTCATTACTACTGATCAATCATCGAAAATAATTGGTAAGCGTCGTTTATGAAATTTGTTAATGCACATTAAAATGAGGGAAAAGAATGTAGTTCTTCTGGTTTTTTGGGGGCAAAATTTCACATCTTTAAAGGATGACTAGTATGTTAGGAACACAAATTTCCTGGAATCTTGTAGTGCTTATGAAATGTAACAGACAAAACCAACCATGTGAGAAATATTGTTAATGAAAACAAGTGTTCCAGAACTGTTTGTGTTCGATTATGAGAAATTATGATCGATTGCTTGGTCGTTTAGTCACTACGACCAATCTTCGATTATTTCAATTAATCGGACAACCACTATAAAAAACCATACCATTCCATTCAATATAAAGCTATGAGGTCGTTTCACGGCGAACAAACCCCATGTGTAGTGTTGTGGATAGACCATTCCCTGAAGCGCGAGAATTCGGTGCTTCGATTCCCGAGTATACACACACATGTGTATTAAGTTAACTAAGTTAATTAAATACAATATAGGAAGATATTTATGTTAATTATAACGCACATGCATTGTGAATAAAAATAACTGCCTAGTTTGTTTGTATTGTTTATGAATAATATATTCGGAGCACTAGCTTGCTGCGGAAAACGTAAAAAAATGATAATTAGTTAATTTCATTTTTGTGTGTACAATTACTGCTTATGGCTGTGACTGATCTCACATGAAATGCTTTGGTGCAAACAGACAGTGATCACAAAAACCCAACCTTTTTCCACCCTCGTGGTTTCACGTCAACCAATTCAGTAAGAATCATCATCTACAGATGATGGCTAGTCAGTTGATATAATACATGGCCCATTAACTGTACTATCCTACAACTGGTTGTTTTAGTATTTATACATTGTCTGGTATACTTGACCGAACATTCCGATCAGCTGATTGAGGGGCCAAAGGTCCTTTCGATTAGTTTACTTTTTATCGGTAATATCCGTTTTGTTGTCAAATAAGAGCTAACTCTAAGTGGAAAATTTATTGAATTTAGTTTTGAAACACACAGAAAATCAGCCAGCAGATAGACACGGACTGTTGGACGGTAGTAGGACGATCAATGGTTGTTGCCAAGAAAATTACATTCCTCAGATCACTTGACTGACACTGGGCTCGTAGAATGTTGCTGAACTTTGTGGGTCTTTATGGCCTGCGAGGGGAAAGAGTCTGTTTATGTCGTACCAGAACAGAAATAAATACGTTTCTTTGTTATAGCATATCAAGGCATCATCCCATGTGTCATGATCATTGTCAACTGATGGGCTGATATTCTGCCTGTGTCAGCTTTAAATCTACTTGACAGCTTTGGCGGGTAGAAATGCCACTAAGGTAAGGATTAGAACATTCAGCAATTTTTGTTTGTTGAATACCGAGACCGCGTGGCCATACTCGTTGGCTTAATGGATGTGATTGTATCCAAGTTGTGCAAATGCATACGTTTATGGTAATCACTGGATTGTCAGGTCCAAACTCGATTTCGCACAGGTCGCTGTCATATGGATTGAATATAAATATGGCTGACTGCAACGCTAAACAACAAACAAATGGTGGACAAATTGAAAAATAATGCTATTACTGATTATTAGTCATGTTCGTTCGATTTTCTCTTTCAAGGAAAAGGGCGGTGGGGTAGCCTAGTGGTTAAAGCGTTGGCTCGTCACGCCGAAGACCCGGGTTCGAATCCCCACATGGGTACAATGTGTGATACCCATTTCTGGTGTCCCCCGCCGTGATGGTGCTGGAATATTGCTAAAAGCGGCGTAAAACCAAACACAGTCAGTCAGTCAGTTCAAGGAAAAATACACTCGCAGTATTTTCAGTGTGATGAAATCAGAAGCACAGACAGAATAATCAATAATCAAGTAACTCATCTTGTCTGAACATGACCTCATGTCTGTATTGTAAAAACACTCCAGCCTTGCCCACAAGTGACTGGTTAAAATGTCTCAGATTCGCATCGTAAACGTAAATGTAGATCGCGGTCTTGTCCCTTGTCATATAAAAAGCCTATAATATTGGGTAGTTTTTCGAAAAAGGAATTCAGGAATAGCATGCCTGGTTAACCGAGCCATCTAGAGGGTCGTTACGTTGCTTCATAACAGATATTATATGGAATACCGACAGTGAAGCAGTTCTGCCTCAAATGAAACCGCGCAGCCATATAATGCTGTCAGTGTGCCACACAAAAAACCGAAGAAGGAAAATTTGAAACGATATCCCCTGACAAATGGAAAGTCATTTAAACCCAGTTCGACTTGAGTGACTTTAATACTGCCAAAGTACACTTGAAACGTACATGGAATGGCATATATGCGCACGATGCCACGTTTAAGGGTGTCACCTTTAAAGTAGACAGGTGCCATATAATGTGACCTATGGGAACAATATTCGTAAAAATGAGTTTTTCATAAAGACCACCCACACCCTATACAAATATACTATTACTCAAAGAGAGTTTGAAACATCTAGCCTTCACGTCATTGCTCTTGTGAGCTTAATCCTTAGTATTCAGGTTTGAGTGAGTGTTGTTTTACGCCGCTGTTAGCAATAATCGAGCAATATCACGGTGGGGACACCAAAGATGGGCTTCACACCTTGTACTAATGCTTGAAATGGAACCCGACGTGACTAGCGAACGTTTTAGCCACTAGGCTACCCAACAGCCCACCTGGTCACATCCTAATAGCCTTGCATGCTTGTCGAACTAGCCCACTAAATGAGCATTGCTAACCATTCGGGAAAACGGAGAACAGGACACTTTTACCCATAACATGTCTTTCCAACCATCCAGTATCCAACACTTAGACCGTTAAGTGAGCGAGTTACGACGTTTTTAGCAATATTCCAGCAATACCGCGGAGGGGACACCAGGAATGGTCTTCACTCACTGTACCCATGTGGGGAATCGGACCCAGGTCTTTGACGTGATGAGCGAATGGATAGAGTGAGTGAGTGAGTGAGTTTGGTTTTACGCCGCTTTCAGCAATATTCCAGCAACATCACGGCGGGGGACACCAGAAATGAGCTGCACACATTGTACCTATGTGGGGATTCGAACCCGGGTCTTCGGCGTGACGAGCCAACGCTTTAACCACTAGGCTACCCAACCGCCCCCCGAATGGATAGATGATAGACTGGAAAGAAACCTCTCTTATTATCACATGCAACCCCAGAGTACCACACCATAACATTACTGTACTGACATTTCATTTAGACAACATATTGAGCCAATAATTGTGATATTGGTGTTTGGCACTGTTGGTCGCAATTTACCATTATTCGTGATTGTAAATGTATTCCACCCCTGTCAGCTGAAGGAAACACGAGAAAGGGAATTTTGTGTCCAGATGTCGAATGATTATGTGCCATTAGTGGAGAATATTATTAATTCGGCAACCTGATACTCAGAGTATTGTTGAAGCCTATTAATTTCCCTTTTCATTCACACAGAAGGGTCATTAGTATACTTGCAACTACACGGCCGGACATAAAGTATGTTGAAGGGGTAAAAATGAAGTAAATAGGAATTGTTATTTGATGCTAATGTATTTGAGCAGGTATTGTAGATGAGGTTTGTAACAGGTGTTTACACACAGTCTTGTATGTTAAATTTCAATGTTGTATATACAACGTTTGTATGTTTTTGGACAAATTGAATTTCAGAAAATATTTTTTTTGTAATAGGAATCAGTGTTATCTAGGAAAAGTGAGATTAATCCAGGTGAACTATTTTATCAAAGGGTTTGTCAAAAACTTCTATCAACGATAATTGTCCTTCTTCAAACTGACCCTTCTCGGTATAGATTAGGCAACAACACAATTTTACATCTGAGCTGCTTTATTGTAATTATGTTCGTTTTTCAGTTGACAAAATCTTAAGTTAGAGAGAACATCCAAATGCTTCTACAAAGTTGTATCTGTAAAATATAAGCTCCTCGGGGACTACACATCCGAAACTGCCTGTCCGTATCAGAGTCTTGGAAAAGTATTTGTTCAAGGTATTTTACTTCAAAGCGGCACGACAGAGTGGAATCTATTTCGAGTGTGTGCCGAAGCAGATTCCATAACGAGATTCTAAACCCCGTCGGCATACTGTACTGTAAGACGTGTGTGGTGTTTGGTTTCAGTGGACCGGACTCTTTCACATGTAGGTTGTGGATAAGTGTTACTACCTGCTACTGAAACCTAACTCGTGTCAAAATGTTATTATTTACAGGTCGAGGCCATATTTACACCACACCATCGGGGTTACAAGAAGTAATCAATGTCGAGGTCAACTATAGCAGGTCACCGGGATTACAGGAAGTAATAAATGCCGAGGTCACTTATAGCAGGTCACCGGGATTACAGGAAGTAAACAATGTCGAGGTCACCTATAGCAGGTCACCGGGATTACAGGAAGTAATCAATGTCGAGGTCACCTATAGCAGGTCACCGGGATTACAGGAAGTAATCAATGTCGAGGTCACTTATAGCAGGTCACCGGGATTACAGGAAGTAATCAATGTCGAGGTCACCTATAGCAGGTCCCCGGGATTACAGGAAGTTATCAATGTCGAGGTCACCTATAGCAGGTCACCGGGATTACAGGAAGTAATCAATGTCGAGGTCACCTATAGCAGGTCACCGGTGTTTGGGGAAGTAATCAATGTCGAGGTCACCTATAGCAGGTCACCGGGATTACAGGAAGTAATCAATGTCGAGGTCACCTATAGCAGGTCACCGGTGTTGGGGGAAGTAATCAATGTCGAGGTCACCTATAGCAGGTCACCGGGATTACAGGAAGTATTCAATGTCGAGGTGACCTATAGCGCAGGTCACCGGTGTTGGGGAAGTAATCAATGTCGAGGTTACCTATAGCAGGTCACCGGGATTACAGGAAGTAATCAATGTCGAAGTCACCTATAGCAGGTCACTGGGATTACAGGAAGTAATCAATGTCGAGGTGACCTATAGCAGGTCACGGGATTGCAGGAAGTAATCAATGTCGAGGTCACCTATAGCAGGTCATCGGGATTACAGGAAGTAATCAATGTCGAGGTCACCTATAGCAGGTCACAGGGTTACAGGACGTAATCAATGTCGAAGTCAACTATAGCAGGTCACCGGGATTACAGGAAGTATTCAATGTCGAGGTGACCTATAGCAGGTCACCGGTGTTGGGGGAAGTAATCAATGTCGAGGTTACCTATAGCAGGTCACCGGGATTACAGGAAGTAATCAAGGTCGAAGTCACCTATAGCAGGTCACTGGGATTACAGGAAGTAATCAATGTCGAGGTGACCTATAGCAGGTCACGGGATTGCAGGAAGTAATCAATGTCGAGGTCACCTATAGCAGGTCATCGGGATTACAGGAAGTAATCAATGTCGAGAGTCACCTATAGCAGGTCACAGGGTTACAGGACGTAATCAATGTCGAAGTCAACTATAGCAGGTCACCGGGATTACAGGAAGTAATCAATGTCGAGGTCCCCTATAGCAGGTCACTGGGATTACAGGAAGTAATCAATGTCGTGGTCACCTATAGAAGGTCACCGGGATAACAGGAAGTAATCAATGTCGAGGTCACCTATAGGAGGTCACCGGTGTTGGGGAAGTAATCAATGTCGAGGTCACCTATAGCAGGTCACCGGGATTACAGTAAGTAATCAATGTCGAGGGTCACCTATAGCAGGTCACCGGTGTTGGGGAAAGTAATCAATGTCGAGGTCACCTATAGCGGAGTCACCGGTGTTGAGGGAAGTAATCAATGTCGAGGTCACCTATAGCAGGTCACCGGGATTACAGGAAGTATTCAATGTCGAGGTGACCTATAGTAGGTCACCGGTGTTGGGGGAAGTAATCAATGTCGAGGTTACCTATAGCAGGTCACCGGTGTTGGGAGAAGTAATCAATGTCGAGGTCACCTATAGCAGGTCACCGGGATTACAGGAAGTAATCAATGTCGAGGTCACCTATAGCAGGTCACCGGTGTTGGGGGAAGTATTCAATGTCGAGGTTACCTATAACAGTCCACCGAGTAGAGGGAAGTAATCAATCTTTATTTATTAATTTTTTTGTAGTGAGGCCATAGGCCGAGGCTACATTTAAGGATTTCAGAGCAGTACATATGTGCATAAATAGTTCAAAAGACAATCAGTTAATTTACAAAAGATACAAACGGAAATATGATATTATTGGCACAGGAGTGAATCTCTAAGTTTCATTGGGGTTGGGGGAAGTAATCAAAAGGCTACTTGGTGATCTGTTTATGTCGAAGACATCACTGGGGTCAAAGATTCATGTTAGTTCTGACATGGACGAATATCGATAACATTTTGACATTTGAAGATTGGGTACCGCGACTTCATGGTGCCTAGTCTAACACTAATCAGAAGTGTTATTTAAAGGTCAATAACAAACTTTAGAAAGACTTTTGGGAGGCTTCTTTGATTGTCTCGCAGCGTATCAGCTTTCGTTACAGGCAGCCAAGTTCAGCTGGGACATAGCTAATGACGACATTAAAGCTAAGTACCGTTTTCACATGCCGATCGATATCTCGATGTATGTTACATTGAAGGTAAAGTTTTCAGATGCTTAAACAACAATATACTTGCAACTGATGAGACCTAAAGTAAGAGGATTAGTGACATCACATCATGGCAAAGGAGGAAATAACTTTCCATAGAAATCATGTGATACGAGTTTAACTTGAGTATGTAACCTATAACTATGCTTACAGCCGACTGACACTGAGTGACGTGGCTGAAAGGATGGCACCCGTTCTGCTCCGACGACAATGATTTACAGTCGTGATACATTTGGGTAACTCAGCGTTAAGTAGTATTCCCTCACTCACTCCCTGAAAACCGTTAAGATCCGGGCCTTCAGCAAACAATGTCTAGCGTACAAGTCTACAAACGAGATCGGGTGTTCAGATTCCGTGATTAAGTTCATGCATGTCATGGTATTCCATTTGCGTGGATCGATGCTCATGATGTTATCCATTGGATTGCTTGGTCCAGAGTCGATTATTTTCAGACCACCATCATGCAGCTGGAATTTTGCAGCTTG